GTGAGAAGGCGACGGCATTGACGTTGGAGGTATGGCCCTCGAGCACGCTGCGGCACGACCCTGTAGCCGCCTCCCACACCCGCACCGTGTTGTCGTCCGAGGCGGACGCGACCAGCTGGCCGTCTGGTGAGAAGGCGATGGCGTTGACGTAGTCGGTATGGCCCTCAAGCACGCTGCGGCACGACCCTGTAGCCGCCTCCCACACCCGCACCGTGTTGTCCCTCGACGCGGACGCGACCAGCTGGCCGTCTGGCGAGAAGGCGACGGCATTAACGTTGGAGGTATGGCCCTCGAGCACGCTGCGGCAAGCATCCCAGTCGTCTTCCCGTTTTGACAGTAACTTAATCCACCCTGGCATTTCGTCTACAAAAGCTTTCCGTGCTATACTTACTTCTGGGGCAAATATAAGAGCCGAGGAATATATTTATAAAGGAGTATTTTAGAGTATATATTAGAATTAAAGAGTAAATTATCGAGCGTTATAGAGAAATATAGAAAGAGCACTATTTAATACCTATATTGCACGTTAGTATAATATAATATTAGAAAAAAGTAGAAGCCTTACCTTAACTAGCGTAGAAAGTGTTTCTAATAAGGAAATATATTTATTTATATTTTTAATTAGACTTATTACTTTAAGCTAGTAAAGAAAGTATTTCTAGAGGAATATATCTATAGTAGCCTTATTACTAATAAAACGCTAGCTCTACTTAAGGTAATACACCTAGTAATAGTAAGTATACTGCAACTTAGGTAATAGGTAGGTTATAATTTTTCCTTTATTAACCTTACTTTTTAAAGTTCTAGGCTATAAGTTATATATATTCTATTATAGGCTATTAGGGCTAGATATAAGTTAAAGGTAATAAAACGCTAACCTTTTATATCTCGCTCTCTTATCTACCTAGAACGGGCTCTTCTCCTTTTTTAATATATTAATAAGGAATTTATAGAATAATAAGTGCAGGAGCTATATAGGTATATTATTGCGGTCTAGTATACTTAGAATAGAGTATAGGAAATCTAGTTAGTAAGTAATATTATCCTTAGATATATAAAGAAGGCGAGTAAGTAATATAGTAGAAAGTAGAGTTTCTAGAACTACTATACTCCCTATAATATCCCGAAACTTATATACCTACCTCTCTTTATCTTTCTTATCCTTTTTATTAAATAGCTAATTAAGAATAGGGAGATAAGTCGCGTTAAGTTTTAAGACTTTTGCCTTCTAATACTTTAAGATAATTTCTAGGCGCTTTTTAGGATTATTACGCCGATTGCTAATATATTAACACGCGGTAGTAGCAAAGATAAATAGTAGGACTGCTTATTCGACTAGCGCCTTAACTTAATCCCTTCTCGGCCAACCTAAAAACAGTAATTATTCTTCCTATACTTATCCTAGTTTATGCTTAAAATACGCGCAGATATTGTATTAAATTATTTATTTTACAACTTTATGCAAGATAAGGTCTTTAAATATACTATTAGCTAATTATTTAAATCCCAGGCGGATATACAGTTCTAGTTAGCTTATTATAAAAACCTATAATAATACTAACTTAAGATCTCTTATTTATAAAAAGAGCTAAAGAATTACTTATATATTACTATCTTGCTTATATTTATCTAACGCGTTTATTATAATAAGTAGTACTAAGTTTAGTAAATATACTATATTTAAAAGCGGATAAAGGATTAGCTTCTCGAACTAATCCTTTAGAGTCTTCTTAAATATAGCTGGATTAGCTTTAATCGCCTTTTTAATTCCAGATCCTAACCTTAATATATAATAAGCCAGCTATATAGCAATAGTAGTAAAGAACTAAGTAGTATTCCCGCGCTCCCCCTCGCCTTTTTTAAAGAAAAAGCTAGCTCCTAGATATTATTATTTGGCGAAGGTCCGGGCAACTATATAAGTAATTATAGACTTTCCTATTCCTGCTGTACTATTTAGCCAGAATATAGGTTTGCTATTTTTATTATTTACCTATCCTTATATATAACGCAGTAACTTAGTACAGGTATTTAGGAGGTATATTAAATTATATTCTTCTATATAAGAGTTAAAGGAAGCGCCTTTAGTAGTAGGTAATAAAAGCGTGTTAGTTTTCTAGTTAACTCGAAGAATAAGGGCCCTGTATATCTTTTTATTAGTATTTACTTACACTAGAAAGTATATACTACTTATATCTAATCTACTTAAAGTATAAGGCTAAAAGTGTTCCTATATTTCTTAAGATTTTAAACCGCCTTTTTTACCTCCTTGCTTATTAATAGCTATTTTAAGGCCCGTATACCGAATTGCTGTATTACTTTACAGCCGAGGCCAGGCTTAAGTCTAGCCTTAAGTTTATTCTTAAGGTTTTTTAGCTCCTAGGAATATCTTTAGAGCGGGTCTAGCAATATATATATAGTAGAGAGCCGCGACTTATCCTGCCTAAGAAGCTGTTTAAGCTTTTTAAGAATATTCTTAATTTTGTTAACCTTTTAATAGAGGCGCTTAATATCGCCCTTTATATACTTAACCTCGACCGAGTACTAGAAGCAGAGCAACGCAACCTTAGCAGATATATCGATAACAGCTATTATACTTGCCGCTCCGGAAAGGCTATCTATAATATAGAGCGCGGTTAGAGGGGTAGTAGATATAGTGGTTTAGTAGAGGCTGCAACGTCGATTTGCAAGGCGGCGAGGCCGTGCCGTCGGTGTTAAAGATGTTGCCGTTTATCTTAAGCGCGCTGGGGCTAAAAAGGCTGCAGTGGCTAAAGGCTGCAGCGGCACTATTGGGTTTAAAGTTAAGAGGCCCAGCTATAGGTATAACGGACCGCCCGGATAGCTATAAGCTTAGCTTATTATATTATATGTAAATTACATCGTGATCTCGATATAAGATATATAGAATAGTTATATACTAACTAGAATTAGAAATCGCTTAGATCCGAAGTACTAATAGAAGTAGTAATTTTATATAGAATTGCTCGCCACAGCAGATATAAGGCTAATAGTAATATTTTGGAATTTTAGTAAGCTTCTACGGGTTAGATAGCACTGTTTATTTGTATTATAGGGTAGCAAAAGCTTAATAGTAGTGTTGTACGGAAGGAACTCTGTTTCGCTAGAAAAGAAGGCTCTGTATAAATCGGCAGAAAGGCGACGATATATAACGTATTTTTTAGTTAGAAGGGGTTATAGATGTTAAGAAATAGCTATAGTATATAATCTATAAGAAGTTGTTGCGAATTTAAACAAATATATAGATTTTAAGTCGCTTAAAGTTGAAGTACCCCTTATATTTCTCGGCGCGGGGTGTTTCTCGACCCGCAGTAACGGACGTTAGGAAGGCCTCCTAGTATAGATCTACACATCACGTGTATAGAAACCTATACATCACGTGTCTATCCATCACGTGCCCGAATATTAGCCGGATGCTGAGAATTCTATAGCTATAGTAACGGAATTCGGTTACGCTATAAAAGAAGGCTCTCCGTAAATCGGGCGCGAAGGCGACAATACGAAACGTAAATTTTAGGTGCAAGGTTTTCTAAGTATTTAGGAGTAGCTAAATTACACGACTTTTATAGAACTATAGGAAATCTCGATATCTATATAAAGTCTAAAAGTTGTTTAAAGTTAATATACCCCTTATATTATGCGGCACGGTGGGTCGTGCGCGACTTAGGAACAGATATTAGCTGTAAAAATACAACCTATAGGTAACTGTAAATAGAGCAGGTAAGAAGTATAAAAGGTAGATTATAGGCTTAAATATAGAGCAACTTTACTAAACTGCGCTATAAGTAATTAGTAAAGTAGAGTTAAAAAAGGGGCCCTAAGTTAATAAAGTAGCTATTTTTAGGCGTTAGTAACAGGAAGTTCTCTGCTGCGGCGAGGGAGTGTTATATTATTGCGCGTAAGGACTTGCTTCTTAGCGCGCTAAATCTGCTGCTTTAATCCCCTGGTATTAAGTTTCTTTAATTTATAGTAATATACTTTTTTATTACGCCTTAGTATTCTAGAAGCTAATAGGGATATAGGATTTCTTTAGGGTATACTTAAAACAGCAATCTAAAAAATAAAGGCGAATTAAAGGGTCTACTTAAAACGCTTTAAGTAAGGTATAAATTGTTGTAATATGCAGATAAAATCGTTAAAAACGACCTGCCAGGCTATATCGCGCTCGATAGAATGCACGTTATATACTATTTTTATTATAAGTACTTTAAATAGTCGACGCCTTTCGGGCCTTAGGATTGCCACTTAATTTATCCTATACTTAACGGTTTAAAAGAAAGGCCCTTATATAGTAGTAGTTATTAGGAATAACCCTAAAGTTGAAAATTCTTATATTTAGTAATATATATTATTATTCGTCGCGCATCTTTAATTTATCCTAAATAAACTAACTTATTTATCCTAGTATAGCCTGTTTTTAGACCGTAACGGGGAACTAAAAATAGGACGTTTTAGGCCCGTTAAGATTCTTAGGTCTTGGTTTCCTATAGAGAAATATCTAAAAAACCTTAAAATATTTGCTAACTATATCTTTATACGCTTATAAGGAGAGACTTAAAATATCTAAACAAAATATTTTTCTTAGTATAGGGGGTTTTTCGCTACCTAGGAACGGACGTAAGGTTATAGTATTTATATATAACCTATAAGGTATAACTAAAACCCGGTCCCGAATTTAGTTTATTTACCTAAAGTACCTAAAAAAGGCCTGTAAAGGGGACTACTTTTTAACCTAGATTATAAGGTCTAAAAATAAGTCCCTATAATAAAAGGTAATACTAGAGCTAGTTTAACTAAGGGCTTTCTAAAAGAAGCTTAAATTAAAAGTAGCTTCTATTTTAAACCGTTTTTAACTCCGGAGTTAACTAAGCTATTATTACTTTGCTATTTTCTAATATATATATTTTTACGGCTATTTCCCTCTATATTTTTATAGCAGCTAGAACCGCCGCGGCAGATTTAAAGCCTAATAAGAAACCTTTAAGCTTTACCGCTTCCAGCGTGTATTTTTCTAGTTAGCTGTAAGTAATAATCTAACTTAAATTTAGTAGCTTAATAGGAATAGAAGTAATTAGTTTTATAGCTACAGCAAAACCTAGGATAATTATAGGATCTCCTGTTAAAACCTTAGCTATAGCACAGAGTACCTCTTAGCTATTAATTGCAGATATTATAAGCATAAAATATCGCCTATCTTTATATTTAACCGCGTCGCCTTTTTTAGAAAAAAATTCCAGTTAGGCTTATTTTTTAACTACCGCCGGTTCTTTTTTATCTATAATAGCGACTACGCTAGCGTTTTAGAGGAATAGTTAAAAACTAGTACCTCCTAGCTTACTAGGTTTAATAGTAACAATTATAATACAACTAGTATTTTTTATTTAGTAGGGGAAAGTCTAAAGTATATAGTTAGATAGCTTAAAAAGCGCCTTAAATTTCGGATAGTATAGTAAGGTAGACCGGCCCTCTATAGCGGCACGTGACGGACAGCAGGCCCCTTCTCGGTGGCTGCGGCTCTCTCTTCGCGTATTATTATATCTTCTTCTTTCTGCTTAGCTGCCTTAGGCAGTATATTAGGCTACGGCCTCTACTTAGACAATATAATTAAGATTATCTCTCTCCTATTTCCTCTCCCTCCGGTAACACGTAATACTTAACCCTATAACTATCCTGCTCCCTACTACTATAATAGGGCTATAATTTTATAGAAAAAGTTTAATATTAATTAGTACCTGCACTCTATAAACCAAAACCTGTATATATAACTAAAATAGTAAATCCTATACTTTTCGACCGTAGTATTTTTAACTAGTATTAGTAATTAATTAGTTAAATTAACCTTGTTAATTTAATTAAGTTAAGTTACTTAACTTAACTTAGAAGATATAACTGCGTCCGACTTCCTAAAGTATACCCTTCGAAAAGTTCTGGTAATTAATTAATTAGGGTTCTAATTTAGTGCCCCTGTGTTTTTGCTACCTCCGCAGCTTATCTTAAATACCTAACCACCCCTCTATATAATTAAGAGAGTGCTCCCCTTTAAATATAGTTAAATAATTTAGTATAATTATACTAAGGCTTTTTATTACCGTGGTTAGCCTTATTAGCATGCCTGTAACCGAGGGTATTAGAACCGCTATTATCTAAAACTTATATTACTTCGAAGTTTATATCTAAAGCGTTGCTAACCTGCTAAATAAAAGTATTACCCTCGCGCTTTATATAGGTAAATTAAAGGAAACCTATTGTTTAAACCCTAATAGCGGGGGCATTTCGCTAAAAATATCTAAAACTCTAGTTCCCTTTAATATTACGCAGTTTAAGTATACTTATAATAGAACTAACCCTAACGTTTATTACGATATTTTAAATATAGATAGTTACCCTTTTAAAGAATAGGGCCTTAAGCTTTCTCCGTCCTTCCCTAAGTATTCTTTTATCTCTTGCGGTCCTGGCATAGTAAACTGCTCGCAAGTTTATAATAAACTAAATAACAACCTTACTACTAAAAGTTGTAAAGTTTTAGCAGATTTAATATTAACGTTATACCTGTCTCCTAAAGGTCCGGTAGTATTGACCTAAATAACTAAAGTTACTAGTATAAAAAGGTTTATATACCTAATAAAGATATAATTTAAGGGATATACTTCTCTAGTACTAAGTCCTTTCTATACCGCACTAAGTTTAGCCTATATACTAATATCCGCAACACGCAGCAAGGCTTCCCTATTTTATAGCGGTGGTAAAAAAAAGTATACTAGCGATATTATATACTATAACCTAGCTAGTAGCTATAGAGCTTACGGCTTTACTATCGCCGATAGCGACCACGTTGTTGTAATTGCGCACGATACTTAGAATACTAAGGGTATAATATCCAACGGCAACCTATAGTGCGGCTAGAAGATTACGATTTTTAATAAGAAGACTAGCAAAATATAGCCTGCGACTATCGGAGATAAGTATATAGGCACTAACGCTACTCTATATATAGGTGGGAATATTAACCTTCCGTAAGGCTTCTTTAATAAAGCCTTTTTCGGCGTTAATAGCTGCGGCCACTCTAACGTTTTTAAGTAGTAGATTAAGTAGAGCTCCGGCTTTCGCGCAGGTATCTAGTAATACAATGCTAGAATATAGGGATTCTATTATAACTGCTAAGTGTTCCGCTGCACTAAATAAAAATGCTTAAGCACCGGTATATTCTAAAACAAACTCTAGAGAATACTTAGTTAGATAGCCTTAATAAAAACTATTTTTACTTACTACCGTTAGCCTTATATATAAAGTCGGAATAAAGCGAACTTAGCGGCGGTATTATAAAAGAGATACGTTGTCGGAATACCCCTACTAATACTAAATTAGACTAGCTAGGTTCTTAAATAGACGTTTATAAGATCTAACTATATAAAGGTACCTAAAAGAAGTTATAGAATAATAACTATAAAATCTAACCGGAACTAGTTTCTACTACCTAGCGTTATAGATTATATCCTATATAAATAGCAGAGTTTCGGTAGTAAATTCGAGTATATTTTTTAATTTCTTACAGAAATATTAATAAATATACCGCAGTATTGCCTAGTAAAGAATACTATATCTAGAGAAGCGCCTAACCTAGGTAATATATACGCAATAGCTAAGAGGTTAAGTAATAGACTATCTCGGATTACCACCTGTTTTAACTTAGGCTCTAATATTTATAAGAGTTAAAAAATTAGAACTAACCTACTTCTGCACGCCTTAAGCCTTTATAAGCGAATAATCGTCGTTATTAGTGCAGGCGTTTTAGTGTCTGCTGGCAGTAAGTATTTTATATTTTTTTTTAGCTGTATACGGTCACCTAATTATGCAATAGTTAACGCATTTCGGTCTTGCAATAGCTTATTTAAGTTGTTAAAGCAAAATTACAAACTTAAATCGTCCGGGAAAAATCTATTTAATACCTTTTTAGTATACTAGAATAAATTATCCTTTTTAGTATTCTATAAAATACTGCGAACCTTGCATAGAAAGATTGTCTCTGCGAGTTCTACTAAATTTCACTGTTTTTTAGCAATATTAGCTAAAAAGGGGCGGCTTTTACGCCTATACTTCCAGAATATTAACAGGCTTAATATATTGCTTAAACCGTTGTAAACTAAAGTTCTATTACTAAAACGAGAACTATAGCTAATAACTATTCAACTTTATAGAAGTCTTTAGTATATAGTTTATAAGAAGTATTATAAAATTTCCGACTTTAATCCCAATCTTTTTAATTATACGTATCCGCCCCCTTATAAGCAGTGCCTTTTAAAAAAGAATAAACGCCAGCAGCAAGGGAAGCAGGACTACGGTATAGAATATTTGCGGCCCTGTATAGTATTATATAATAAGGGTAGCCCGGATGCTGAGGCTATTAGAGCTATATTTATAAAGGATTTAAGATTAAGGCCGGATGCTATTATTATTGCGGGCACGTTATTAGAGATTATTAGAGTGCGGAGGATAGTTAGAGAAATATATAGGGTGGTGTCGGACCACCGGAATAGTATTATAATTTGGATTAATATAGAACCTAAGCCCGTATCTAGCAAACTAAAGAGCTATTAGGATTTAGTAGTATAAAGCCTATATAATAGAGTTGCACGCCTATATAAAGCCGCTATAAAAAGTAGACCTATATTACTAAAGCTAAATAATAGAAACGTGCGGAGGTAGAAGAATAATCTTCTCTTAGAAAAAATAGCTTAGTCTTCTCTTGCTATTAATTAGCTTTTAGTAGATTCGGTGTATATATAAAATAATTATTCGTAATTAAGCTCGCAACTAATATAGCTAGTTTTTACGCCTATTTCTAATAGAAAACCCTTAACTATATAAGCTTTTATAATAGCTAGGCTCTAAGAAACTAAGCAGTAGCCTCCTAGACCTATTTTATAAGTATTAGCCGAAAACTACTTTTAGCTATTATAAGAAAACTATAAAGTTATCTTTAGAGATATATTAACCGCTATTCTAACTAAAAACACACCTGTTAATTATGCTAATATACCGCTATACTCTAGTCCTAAAGGCCTTACTTATTGCACTAATATTTATAGCTAAAGGGAAACTATTAGAAATATAAGGTTTCTTACTCTAGCTAGATGCTACTAGTTTAATTAAGCTCGAATAAGCTGGCTAAGCAAATTCAATCCTATAATACAGCCTAGCAAAGAAATTAGCGCTTTTTATTAGGCCTGTTTCTAAGGTTAACTACAACTATAACCCGAATATAGAATTCCACGTTTAATTAAATAATAGCCTATCCGGCTTTGCAATAATCGCGTTGCGCACTTTAAGAAATATTGCACGTAGGGAGAAGATTACGGTATTATACGGAACGGACTATTTTAATTCTAGGAACAGCAATTGCTTCTACGCGGTATGCGAGGACCGTGGAGTAAACGGTTGGATTTCGGCTGGACCCCCGTTTTTGGCCGGTAACAAAGGCCGTATTACTCGATAATCTGCTATAGCCCTTAAGCAGCGGAAGTTTAAGATAAATATCTTCTTATACGCCCCGCTATTAACCCTTTAAGCTAAGCGGGCTCGATTAGACTATTATAATCTAATACTAGCTACTGCTGTATTTCGCTGTTTAGTATATAGGCTTCGAGTAGTATATATGCCCCGGGGTCGACTATGCCTTATATACCACGTTAGGAACTTACGACTCTAATACCGCTAATAAAGTTCACTTCTTCTTTAAGTACTTTTTCTCGAAATTCTTAAATAGACACCATTTTTTATAGATACTATTGCGTATAATTTAGTGTCCCCTTATACTATCTATATTCTATTAAAAACCTATTATAAATTTACTAAAAAGGTTTTATAGACTTCTCGCGAGGAGTATATAAAAAAGAAGTTTAACGGGAAAGTATTCCGTTTTATAACTACAATTAACTCGTGCCTAAGGTAATTACGTATAGGACTTTAATATGCAATAAGAGTAATTATTAAGGACCTAGAAAAATTAATATTCTAAGGGTCTACTATAAATATACGTGCATTTTGCTAATATTTTAAGTACTTTAACGTAAAAAAGTAATTAATTATAGATATTTTGCTACTAAATTACCCTACAGATGCAATAAATAGAGAAAAAGAGTTTTAATAAAAACATCTTAGCAGTAAAAACTAGTATTAATTACTCTTTTATATACTTCCTCTTCTTCTTCCTTTCTAATTATATTTTTAACTCCTCTAGCTTAATATCCCTTATAAGTACGCAATCCCTACTTTCCTAAAGCTGCTTTATTAAGCTAATATTCTCCGCTTTAACAACTTTAAGCTTAGCCTGGCTTTCCGCATTAACTAGTACTGCACTCTAGTGCGTATTTTCTAAAAAATTTTCTTTCTTTTCTATTTCTCTTCTAAGCTCGGTAATTATCTCCTTTAATTCTTCGGTTTTTTATTCTAAGTAGATATTTAGTTTATAGACCTCGTTTACCGCTAATTAAAGTAAATTAAGCTGCTGCGTTTAGCTATCCAGCTGTTCTTTTAGTATTATATTCGCCTCTTATTTTTCTATAAGGTCCTGCAGTATACGCTGGTTTTTTTAAGCTAAGGTGTTTTAAGCTTTTTAGTAGTTCCTAAGTTCCTTAATACGCAGTATATTTAAATACTCGAAATATTTGCCCTAGTAGTCTATATATAAAGGAATTAGTTTAGTAGCTCTCTTAATAATTCTATAGAAAATATTAAAGTTCTAACTAGTATAACGTATTTAGCCTTAGATTGTTTTAGCGAAGTTGTCCACGCTTAAAAGTTCTTACTTTAGATTGTTTAGATTCTACTAATACTCCGATTTCTTTCCGGGGACTAGTTTATATTAACTTATTCTAATTATATAATTTTAGACTTTTGCAGTAGGCGTTTCCCATTTATATAATATAATATAGCGTACACCTATTAATTGCCTCTATAAGCAGTTAAAAGTTTAGTAACTATAAATAGCCTATACTACTTTCCGGGCTCTATACCGACTTAAAGTTGCCTTAATATAAACCTAGAGACTGCTATTATCTGTAACCTGCAAATCTAAAAATACGGCAAATCTAATTACTAACTTAAAACATTTGCAATCTACGACGTCTAGCAGCCGATACATCTAATTTAAGCAGAGGCAAAGTCGACAGATATATTTAATATTATATTTAGTACACATGCCGGTTCTAGGTTTATTATTATAAACGGAGCGAACTTTAGAAGCTAACTAGGGTTCGTGGCAAGCTTAAATCGATATTTGCATTTAGTATTGCACCTAAAATCGAAAGAAATCTAGAAAATCCTAAAAAAGTAGTATAGTTAAGCTTGCAAGCGCTAATATATAATACGGTACGCTTTATTCCCACTTTTCGACCGGCACTAAAGGTGGTACTGCTTTAAGTATACTACGCTGGTCTAATATTTAGTCTAAATACAAGTATTATTAAGAAGACTTTTTTAAAAAAAGTTCCTACTTAGTTTATATATATACCTAATATATTAGAAAACTGGAGTCCCTGTTTATAGACGCTTAATAGCTATTCGCGTAAGGTTATATCCGTGGTTTTCTCGCCGGACGGTAAAACGCTGGCGTCGGCATCGTCGGACCGGATAGTTAAGCTATAGGACGCCGGCTTAGGAAAGGCGCTGCAGACGCTTAAGGGCTATTTAGATTTATATAGTTTTTTATTCTCTAATATAGGGTTCTATCTCTTAACTAATAGAGGAGTGCTACTTTTTTCCAACTTTTCTAATAATATAGTAGCCTTTTATTATTGACTAGCTTCTCCGCTATTAATATCTATAGAGCAAGATTAGATATATTATAATAGTAAAAGAATTCTTTAGCTCCCTTCTAAATTTCGCCCTTATAGCCCTTAATCGGTCGCTGTTTATAGGGTGCTTTTCTAGTCGAGTATTAGTTGCAAACTTTATATTCTAATGTTTTTTAACCTCTACTACTACTGCAGATAATATCTTTTTATACTATTAGCGCAAGTGGTATTAATATATATATAGAGTTTAAGTTGCTTAAAGCTAATATACCTATTAATTTTCTTGCTATAGAGGGTTTCTCGCTACCTAGGAATACACGTTACCTACGATTATATATAGGGATTATAGTAATATTAAATCTATTTAATAGATATACTAATAAGATATTCGAAATTACTAAGTTTTTCTCTATATTTTTAATCCTGCCAGTAAATCTTATAAAGCTTCCTTTTAACACGCCTTCTCTCTATAATACCGTATACTTATAGTTTAAAATAGCAAAGTTTACTCTTACTTATATCTACTAAAAGAGCTAGCGCTGGTGCTGGCGGAATCGATGATAATAATAGTGCATATATATAATACTAAGGGCTGTTTTTTCCGATAAGCTTCTAGCTAGCATATCTAATTTTTTAATAGAGCTTTTTTATAGCCCTAATATCTCTATAAAAGGCGTGTTAGTAGGATTAACTATACTATATACTGTCTAATCGACGTCTATACTACTGTTTAATTAAATTAGGATAAACTAGAGTTCTAAAAATAGCTTATTACTCTAGTTAAACCTTATAGGGTTTAAATAGCGGGTGTATAGTGCGGCAGAGGAGTTACTCTTACAAAGAAAGACGGTAACGCATTGCCTGCACGTTGGCCTAGAAAGTTAATTAAACCGTTAGAAAGTTAGAGTTAATAATAGAAACTAACTAGATATTTCGGTTCTATAGCCGGCTAGCACGGGTTTTAAGTATAGCAGTATTATAGTAAGATTATAAATGCAGATAAGTATATTAATGCAAGCGAAGAGGAACCTAAGTAAGCTAGAATATTATATAAAATTGTATTTCTATATATAGAGGAAGACCTGCGACCTTAAGTGCTTCTATATTAGAGTTAGTATAAATATAAATCCCTATAGCGCCCTAAAAGTTCCCTCTAAAAGCTTAAATTTTTATATATCCGTATTTATAATATCCTCGCCCTAGTGCTATTAGCTAGATTAATAATTCTGCTAGTTACTAGGAATATTAAAATTTGGCGCCTAAGCGTGCTCGGAATCCCGAAACTGTATTTATTATATAGATCCGAATAAAAATACCTTTTAATATCTTTTTAAGGCTTATATACTATAAAATGTTTCCGTAATATTCTATTATTAAACCTGCGGCTTTAGGCTTTGCTAGTTTTAGGGCTCGATTAATATATTATAGATTCGCCGCTTTTATTTATATTTCTTTGTCTATATATAGAGATCGAACGTGTATAGTTAATAGCTTATAGGTTTCCTAGGGCATAGTATAGAACTTCTTTAGAACTATTTGCGAATCCGCTAAACGATAGTCCTAGTTAAAGGCATATTGTGTAAATTAGATAAATGTCTTCTTATTAAGACCTTTTAATACGCAGCTTACTTTTGCTTTTAAAAGGTGTTTATTAACTAAAACTCCGCGTAATCGTGAATAATAGGCTATAAGTGCGGCGTAAACGGTGAAATTTTCTTTTTTATCTTTAATTCCGAATAAAAACAGGTAGTTAAGTATGCTAAATTTTATAGTTAGCTAGTCCTAGAAATTTCGCTTACTACT